TTAAAATATCAAAATCTGGGGCCATGCAGTGGCACGGCAGTAAAACCCAATACTGTGCAAGGCTGACCCACATGGGAGTCTTCCAAGTTCGTGTCCAGAGTATACTGGGTATGCACGTGCCCGTGTTCCAGGACTAGTCAAGGGAGGGGTAGACCCCATTAAGGGGACCCCATTGGAGGTGTTGTCTCTCAGTCTCTCTTTCTCACTCATGGGGAAAAATAAGTAAATATACTTTTAAATATACACACACACACACATCAAAAACTAATGTATTTTAACTAAACAGCCAGCTAGATAGCTATTCTTTGCTCCTTTATTCTTATAGATTGAGCAAATTCACAGATTATTAGTACTTCTAATTTGTAAATCTTTAAAAAAAAATACCTATCTGTTAGCCTTAGAAAATATGAAACAAAAAAATAAGCTGCAAACCAGTGGGGTATGTGAGTCTCCACCAAATGTTCTGGACATGTGCCTGTAGCTACTTTGCTCAGACAGCTGCTCATGTCTCTCCTGATCAGACAGTTCTTTGTGCCACGCTCCACGAGGGCAGAAGAAATTGGGGACCTCCCCCAAGCCCTTGGTTACTTTTATCACTATTATTATCAGTATCATTATTATAACAGTGGTAACAGTAGCTTACAATTACCAGTGATATTCTCTATATTTGTTATGAGTATTGTCTTGGGATCTGCAGGTGGTATGATGGTTAAGGCACTGGATTCTCACATGGTCGACCGCGGTTTGAGTTCTGGACCTGGTGGCTTGCTTTCTCATTTTCTCTCTCTCTCTCTGATTTAATTAAAAATAATAATAATGAATGAAAGAAAATTAAATAAAATATTTTTTTAAAAAAAGAACATTGTATCATATAATTCTTTTTTTTTCTTTTTTTTTTTTTCTTGGAGAGATTTTTGCTATAGTGCACATACGCTCACCAGACAGACAGAGACAGAGAGACAGAAAGCGAGAAATCACCCCCTAGGGGGGATGACCATGACACAGTCCCTTTTCCTCCTTTCTCCTCTTGGGATCTTGGGCACGCGCACACACATGCCCGGTGCGAGTTTAAGCCACCGGGTCTGGGACTCGAACCGCATTCAACTACATGGGAGTCCAACAACATAGCCATCATGCTAACTGCTGGTCCCTATCATATAATTCTCATGGCTACCTTGCAAGATGGGTATTAATTTCTCTCAATTTCCAGATGAGGAAACTAAAGCTTAGTCACTGAATCATATGTGGAGTTAATAATGGCAGATTGGAGAGTTTAAGCTATTTCTCCAGATTCTCATTCTTTTACTTCATAGTTCAAAGTGGGGGGTGGAATTTAAAATATCACCAAGACATTCAAATGCCCTGCTTTAGGATCAAACTGAACTTTTTCATTTTTTTAGAATTTTTGTAAAGATGTACAAGTAAAAGTCTAACTTCCTTGAGGATGTTAAAAACATTTCAAGTCAAGTCAAAAAAAATAAAATGGAGGGAGGAAAGAAGAATCGAAGAGTTTCCTATTATGGTGCTATCTACATAATACTTCTTGATAAGAAAACCCTGGGCATTAGCAGGGGCCTTGTGTATGAATCAGTTTTCAAAGCTGAGCTTGCCTGAGGCAGCCAGTCTGGAAGTATGTTCAGACAGACATGGTGAAGTATTTGGACTGATAAATGTTTACAAAATAGAAATTTGAAAATCCAAGGTGTTCAGATTAGATAGTAACAAGTGGAGAGGGACTCAGGATGACTAAAGTGGATGTAGCATAAAGTTCTTCAGAGACAAGAAGGGCAGAAACATTGTGGCAGTCCAGGAAAACATGCTTCCAGCCTGCTTTTATTAATGTATATTTTTAGAGAGAGAGATTTTTGCTATAGGGCCCACGCACTTGCCAGAGAGACAGAGAGACAAAAATCAAGAAATCCCTCCCTGCCAGGGGGAATGGCCATGCTACAATCCCTTCTCCTCTATTCTCTTCTTGGGATTTTGGGCACGCGCGCACACACACACACACACACACACACACACACCTGGTGTGAGTTCTAGCCTTCTTTGTTCAGGCTCCAGAGTATGGCATGGAAGGTACCAGATGAAACTATTGTATTTTCTCTCTTTAGTGGGGAGTCTCCTGTTCAGTTTGAAATAAGTGAGCATGAAATACATAAACATCAAAAATTATTATTACTATTTAAAAAAAAAAAAAAACATCGAAATCTTAGAGAGGGCATTTGGGTGTTTTGTTGGTACCCTGGATGCTAGTAGACCCCAAACCTGCAGTTAGACACTCCCTGGGCTATACATTCTCCTGGGCTCACAAGCGTCTTTTGGTTTTCAAAGGAACTGATTTCACAGAGCTATTATGCATCAGTTATGATTATGTTTGATTGAAACAAAATAAACAGGGAGTTTTCTACATCAACATTATTTTCCTACATAGAAAAAATTGAGAATGAAGACCAGAAACTTAAGCTAAACAATGCATAAGCTCACAGGTGAGAATTTTTCCGTTCCTGATTTTTTCCTAGGTAAAGCAGTCACTTAACAAACACAGTCACACACCACATAATGTTTCAGTCAGTAATGGACACTATATATGACACTGGTCCTGTAAGATTTTAATGTAGCTGAAGAATTCCTATCACCTTGTGATGTCGCAGCCATCATAATGTCATGGTGCAATGCAGGACTCACATTTGTGGTGATGCTGGCATAAACTAACCTGGTATGCTGCCAGTTGTATAGAAGTAACAGTGCATGATACTTGATGGTAATAAATGACTACGTTGCTGATTTATGTATTTACTATGCATCTATCATTAGAGTGTATTTATACTTAACAACAAAACCCACTTTATTATAAAATAGTATATCTTGCTATGCTGGGAGGAGCCTCCTACATCTATTTACTGAATCTCTTGATTGCCTCATTTTCTCTTGTGTTGGATTTCATCCGATGCTGGTTTTTTTTCATCATGGCCCTTCTTTTTTGAGGAGGAAGATATTGATATTGATAGTCTTGACTCCGTGTGGGGCTAGGCTAATGTGTGTGTTGGTGTCTTAGTTTTTTAATTTTATTTTGTTTTGTTTTAAACAGCATTGAAAAGAAAGTGTATTTAACTGTACTCAGCTCATAATACAGCAAATAGGTGAACAGAATAATAATTCATGACATGTAGCATGTTTAATGAGCTGGCAACAGAGAAATTTGGTCAAAGAAAAGCATAACTTTGTCCTTAGGAATTAGAACCGAGGGACTCCATAATCACCTGGCATCCACTCCATGTTGTGTCTATGGTTAGAAATGTACATGATAGGAACTCCTGGGATCTTCCAGATTCTTCGTTTAAGATCTGGGTCAACTGTGGTCCCAGTTTAACACCTGTGCTGAGTTACTCTCTGTACCAAGCCGTCATCTGCATAGGTTCCTTTATGTGTGCATGGTAATGGTTCAAATCTTGGATCCTTGGCAATTCTTAGAGCACTTGATACTTTTGCCCTGATTTCCCGGTGTCAGGCATTACACAGTCAGTTATACAAGGGATACACCCGGGATACAGACACCCCATCATTGACTGCAGTAAGTCCAGTTCAGCTTTAATGGAAAAGTAGATAAAGTTAGTATCAACCAGGATGTGGTAAGGTGAACCCAGCTGTGGATTATATTGAAAGAATAAGCAGGAAGGGGAATGTCTCTTTCCTTCAGTGTGCTGGGATTCTTCTGTTCTTTCTTTTTAGGTTTTAATCTGTCCTTTTCTTCAAGCTTCTGATCTCTAAGACTAAACATTCACTTCATGGTCACGTACTGTGTTCTTTTGTTTCCCTGTGCTCATGCCACATCCTTGTTTCTTTGGTGTCTTAGTTTCTAATGGAAAGGTTAGAAAGTAAAAAAGAAAACAAACAAACAAACAAACAAAAAAAGAAAAGAAAAAAAACTTAGGTCCAGCAGATGACATAATGGTTACAGAAGAAGAAGAAGAGGAAGAGAAGAAGAAGAGAAAAACTGCTTTGCCATCAGGGATACAAAACAGACACATGTAAAATGGCCATCAAAGATCCCTTTCTGTCCATGTTCAAGTACTGTTTGGAGGTTGGCTTAAAATCATTGGAAAAGATAGCTCAAAATGGAATGGCTTGGTATGGCTTTTTCAAAATATCTAGAAATGTATTGTTCTGTAGCAACTATGTGTGATTTGCACCTTTGGAGACTGAACATTCTTTACCATGAATCCTGATGAAAGATTGTCCTCTCAGGATTCTCCAAATAGAATGTAGCTTTCTGTGCTTTGGCATGTCCCATAGAATGAGCCGGAAACTCAAGGAAGAAGGACCTGCCACTGTCCCAGAGTATTTATCAGCCATGCTCTGGGACTCATCCCACTCTCTGGGAAAGGGTATTTTCCACTTTGAGTAATAAACCATTTTTAAATTATACAAGAGATCTTGGATTTGTGTACATATGTGAGCCAAGTCATTATCTAGCCCTTACTATGATTTCACTAGTCACAGGCAAGTGAAAATGGCACTCAGGACTCCAAAAGAAACTATATGAGCTATAATAGTTATTTTCTAAATGTAAAGGGAAAGGCTTATTATAACTAATCTAGAATAAAATAATACATTAAAAATTTGCATTAATTTAATAGCATCATCCTAGGAAGGAGAGAATTATTATTTACCATCTCTTAAAAAGATTAGGTTTAAATCATTGCCCTCTGTGTATCTCACAATCCAGTGTTCAAAGCCCAAAGAGACTTCAGTTTGATTAAGTCATAGTTTGTATTTTCAGTTTGTGAAGAGTGAACAGTTGGTCGTGAACTCCAGCTGATCTGCAGGAGATGCGTAATTCTATGGAGAATTACAAGAGCACAGAAATCCAATGTGGGGATAGAAGATGATTTTAGCTGCACAGTTCCATTTCCATTGTGCCTGTCCTGATCTGTTGTAAACCTGATAAGATCAAAAGCATATTTTCCCACTAATTAACAGCTGTTTCTCTTTTCCAGTGTTCTGTCTCCTGTGGTGGTGGAGTGCGGATTCGCAGTATCACATGTGCCAAGAACCATGACGAACCTTGTGACGTGACCAGAAAACCCAATAGCCGAGCTTTATGTGGCCTCAGGCAGTGCCCATCTAGTCAGAGAGTTCTGAAACCCAACAAAGGCACAATTTCCAATGGGAAAAATCTACTGACACCTGAGCAAGATCCCTCAAAGCGCATCCTTCCACCTACATCCAGTCCCACAATGCTGACCACGCCCGTAGTGTCTAAATCTGTGAGTGCAAGTACTCTGGCAGTCAACACCCAGAGTCCTACCACAGTCACCACCGGACACCTTGATGGGAAACAGTGGCAAAATAGTTCAACCCAAACTATGCTGGATCCCCACTATATCATTTCCACTGGGAGTACTTCCCTGCCCATCCTCACATCTTTGTCTCCAAGTCTCCAGTCAACTGATAATATTTCCAATCCAGGTACTGCTCCTACCTTGGGAGACCTAGCTACAAGTGCTTCTGACTTGTCATCTTCCAGCAATCCTGTGACATGGCAGCTGACTCCATTTCATAATTCCTTCACCAAAGATCCAGAAATGGAGATTCAGAGTGGCTCAGGAGAAGACAATGAACAGCCTGAGAACAAAGACAAAAGTAACCCTGTAATATGGACCAAGATCAGTGTACCTGGAGATGATGCCTCTATGGAAAGGACTACAGAAATGCCACTTGGACCCCTACCAACACCTTATCTCAGAGATGAGTCCTCATGGCCCTCTTTCAGCACTGTGGTGGAAGGACTGCTACCCAACCAAAGGGCCAGTACTCTCAAAAATGGAACACCCAGGATAGAGGGGATGGCCACTGAGAAGCCACCCAGCACTCTTTTCCCTCTGGAAGGAGACCATGAGCCAGCAGTCTTAGAAAAATCATTAAACCATGACCACCTAGAACTTCCAAATGTCATGAATGTAACACACAGTTCCGAACAAGTTCTGACTGAGGAAGATGCAACAAGTCTGATTGCTGAAGGTTTTTTACTGAATGCCTCCAATTACAAACAGATCACAAAGGGCCACAGCCCTGCCTACTGGGTTGTTGGAAATTGGAGTGAGGTAAGAGGTCCCTTTTCCTACCTGAGACCTGATCGTACATGGAAAATAACTAGGAATGTTGCTTTCTTATGCGGGTTTCAAAATGAACTTGCATTAAAATACAACAGGTCAGGGTTGGAGGTGACATGGTAGTTAAAGTGCTGGACTCCCATGTTGCCAACTGTGGTTTGAACTGTGGACCTGGTGGTTTGAAAATCACACTGGGCATGTATCCATGCACGCCCAAAATCCTGAGAAGAGAATTGGAGAAGGAGGGACTGCGGCATGGCCATCTTCACTGTGGGGTGATTTCTCACTTTTCATCTGTCTCTCCTAGTGAGACATGCCACATATGTCCTGTGGCAAAAAAAAAGCTTAAAAGATAAAAAGTTATTAAAAAGCATCTCAGACTCTAAAAAAGATTAAAAATATAATAGGGTCTTCAAAAAGTTCATGGAAAATGTATATAGTGAAAAAAACTATCCAAGGATTAATTATTTTTTCACACTAAAATAAACTTGTGCTTTAATTCCATTTCTCCACAAACTTTTTTTTTTTTTTTAAGAGATTTTTGCTATAGGGCTCTTGCACTTGCCAGAAAGACAGAGAGAGACAAAAAGCAAGAAATCACCGCCCCACCACCACCACCACCATGGGGTAATAGCCACACTGCAATCCCTTCTCCTCCATTCTCCTCTCGGGATCTTGGGCACAAACACACATGTGCCAGGCATGAGTTCAAGCCACAGGGTCTGGGGCTCAAATCATGGTCGACTACATGGGAGTTCAGCGACATAGCCATTATGCCAACTGCTGGTCCCTCTTCACAAACGTTTTAAAAAGAACTATTTATTTAATTTTATTTATTGCTACTGTTATTATTTAATTTGCTATAGGGCACACAGACTCATCAGAGAGAGACAAAAAGAGCAAAAGAGAAAGAAAGTGAAAAAGTAAGCCACCTGGACTTACTTTCCAGGACTCAAACCACTGTCAGTCATATGGGAGTCTAGCACCTTAACCTCCATGCCACCTGCAAACTTTCTGAAGTCTCTCCACGTAGCCTAATGTGAGAAAAAAAATTGAAGCAATCAGGTGAAGCCTCACTTTCCTCCTTAACACCCTAATTCCTCAAATAGAAGGGAAAATACAGAAAAATAGAATGAAGAAAAGAGAAGAAAGGAAGAAAGATGATATAGACCGGGAAAGAGAAAAAAATACAGTGAAAAGAGCCCTCAATTGAGTCAAAAGGCCTGGGTCAGTCAGCTGTGTCAACATGGAGAATTCAGTCAATCTCTCTGAGCCTGCCTTTGTCTACAGAACGGAAGGGCTCTTGCAAAGGATCTCTCCTGTCCCTTCCAGCTATAAACTGCAATTATCCTGTAATGAAGGACAACTGAAAGTCCTGAGTTTACATTTCAACCACAAAGCCAGTGCTGAGATTTGATTTAAACCTGTGAAGTTATAACAATTGGAATGGAAATCTAAGACAAAACTCTTTATAAGAATCCTATAACTCACTGTATCAATCATTGCTTTTTGGCCTGTTTTTCAGTGCTTGTATTTTTAAAAGTCGTGTCTTGACTCACTGAAATAAATAGAATATGTAAAGAAGGAAAAAAATAAACACAATGACAAAATGTTGGCCCTATTTTCAGGCTTCAGACATTTAGCTAGATATTTGTTTTTCCATTTCTAGGAATAATCTTGTTCTTTGAAGCATTAAAATTATTTCTCACCTATTAGAATTTTAAAAGTACAATATTCAAACTTGTTAAATTAATGTCACAACTCAAGAGAGGACTTTGTGGCCAAGTAATCACATGTTCAAATGACTCAGCACTTTTATGACATGACTCATTTCCCTAGCTAAAGAGAAGTGAAATATTAGTAGCCAATATAAGAATAACAATACAATTATATTGATTTCCAAACAGCTTTTACATGTAATCTCTTATGACTCAGAAATAGAAGCTTCATTATACAAATTTATAAATAGGAAATCTATAATTTTTAGCAACTCAGTGATTTGTCTAAAAACACAATTTTCAATTGATGATGAACCTTCTAATTCCACTTTCATTTGCTGTCTCTCTAGTAAATTTCATCATCGACTGACAACTTAACAGTAGAAAATGATTCTGTTTATATTAATCAGTGTGATTGGTCATAGAATTACCAGACATACAGTATATATTAATATAGAGCAATAAATAGATAAATTCAAATCTCCAAAATTGTGTGTACCAAGGACCATAATAGTTGCATTTGAACTGTGTTTTCATATTGATTTATGTGTTATGTCTAAAATGAGCTATCACATTTATGTCAATAAAGCAGCACCCTATCATCTCCATTTACAAGCAAAGAATCCAGCTTCAGGGATAAAGAAGGTTTTTATGCTTGAAGTAATTCAACTTATTGAAAACAGAGATAAACAGGTCTCATGGTCCCTGACACTTTAGTCATAGTTCTTTCCTAATCAGATCTAAAGGGCCAAGACAATGTTGACAGTAAATATTTATAAAACCTGAACCATGCTTCATAATTTTATCAATGTATGACTCATAATTCCATGATTTATGCTAATTAATGTGTATTCTTTCATTTAATCTCATGAAAGCCCAAAGGGATCACTAATTCTTGTCCCTGTTTTAGAGATGAGAAAACTGAAGCTGAGATCAGTAGACTTTCATTAACTCCGGAGTCAGAATTTGAAGTCAGGCAGAGAGATCCAGAACCCATGATCCCTTGCAAATCAGAAAACATCATCCTCCTCTGTGCCTTTGGCTATATTTGTTTCTGCTTTGGTCATACTACATATAAAAATGATTCTAATTATGTGGTGACCCTGGGTAGACAGATAAGAAAATCTCATAGTTCACAAGAAAGTATTTAAAAATACTAAGGGAACCCACTTTTGAGTTCACAGGGACAAATAGTTCCTATAAGGTCACCATGGTTGATTTAGCCTAGAGAAATTGAAATAAAATTGATCTGTTAGGTTTTATTTTTTAAATGTTCATTCAAACAAGTCAGGCAGAGAGATCCAGAACCCATGATCCCTTGCAAATCAGAAAACATCATCCTCCTCTGTGCCTTTGGCTATATTTGTTTCTGCTTTGGTCATACTACATATAAAAATGATTCTAATTATGTGGTGACCCTGGGTAGACAGATAAGAAAATCTCATAGTTCACAAGAAAGTATTTAAAAATACTAAGGGAACCCACTTTTGAGTTCACAGGGACTCAACCAATAGTTCCTATAAGGTCACCATGGTTGATTTAGCCTAGAGAAATTGAAATAAAATTGATCTGTTAGGTTTTATTTTTTAAATGTTCATTCAAACAGTACTCTCAAAACATACCTTTTTTTTTTTTCCCAAAACCATGGGGCATCCCTACAGAGCAGATGAATGGGTTAATGTCTTCCTTCCATTGAAACAGTTTAGAGAGTTTATCATCTGCAGACCAAAACACAAAGAACTGTGGACTGTAGTTGTACATAATGAAAGTGACAACATAATTTTCCACAGCCTTTCAGAGCAGTGAAATGACCCTCCTCATAAATTGAGGCTACTAATTAATTTATATCATTTCAATACTTGGTTAATAGGAATGAGAACTGAAAGCACCTACAATTAAAGGCACTGTGGACCTTGAGAATAATACAACTTGGGTTTAACAGAATGTGAAAGAGTAGATGATAAGTTATAGAGTTAGAATTCATAATAGAACTATCAAAATATGAGTGACATGTATAATAGAGTATGTATATGTAATTAAAAATCACCCACAAATACTTATGTGCACAAACACATGCATGGACACACATTAGGGAGGTTAGGATGCTGATCCAGGCTGCAGTGTTGGTGGTAGAAAATGGTGCCATAGTCTAGGCAGTCATTTGGAAACCCAGGCTAACATGGTTCTACCATCTTTCCATCATCAAATTTGGGGTCATTTTTGCAGTCAACAAGAAAGGTAAAAGAGGTACTCCTGTAGGGTGTTAATTAGGCCAAGCCTGGAAGCAGTAAGAATCACTTCTGCTCATATTCCATTGTCCAAGTCAAATGTCAAACCAAACACGACAAAGCTGAGAAATGCAATCCAGTTGTGTGCCTAGAAAGAAGAAAAGGATTTTTGGTGAAAACCTGGCAATCTCTGCCACTGATTTTTCTGGTCACTGACATGATCTGCTGTGTGTGGGCAGATGATTCTGAAGTAATGAGGATGAGGGATTTGACTTATTGGGAGGTTATTGGAGTAGTTCAGATGAGGCCTGAGAATTATGCCAAGAATACTCAAGATGAAAAGGGGAAAATAAGTTCAAAGTAGATTTGAGACTTAAAATCAGTAGGAAGTTATAAATAATCAGATGTGGAGTGTGAAGAAGAGAAAGGAGAAGTGGACTCTGTCAAACCTATTCAGTTCGAATCTTAGGTATCTATTGAGTGGTTGTGCTCCTGTGGACTGAACACACATTGTATAGGAAAAATGAGTCTCCATCGAGGAAAAGAAAGAAGGGACAATGAGTTCAGTTGTAAGTTGAGTTTAATTGGTGGTGCCTCTGGGATATCCCAGTGATAACCAACAGATATTTGTATGTATGGGTTTGAGGTTCTTGAAGCAGAGGAAAATTGGAGGTAAGTTTTGGTAACCAAGAGCCATGAAGGTTAAAACCTTGAAAGTGAGTGAGGTCACCCAAGAATAGCCTGTGGGCTACAAGGAGTGGTGGCCCAGGTACTGGACTCTGGAAAACAACATGTTAAGTGGTTGACAGACAAAGAGATCCCTTGAGGAAGACTAGTTAGAAATAGTCTAATATTGAAGATTTAAATCAAGAAATAAGGTGTCATCAAAATCTAGGAATGTAAAAGTTGACAGTGGATCTATTTGTTTTGATGATTAGCTCATTTTTAGTGACTCTGGAGAACAATTTCAATATTGAGACAGAGGGAAGCACTGAATTTTAGTAAATCTTTAACAGGCTATCACATTGTTCAGAGGGACCCCTAT